CCACATAGCAGTAAAAAGACATACAAATATATAACTGTTCAGCCATTGCATAAAACAGGCACATTTAATCTATACCCAGATATCTTAGATCTGAGCGCACATTATTACCAAATGGCACTCAGATCACATACATCCAGTTCAATCGACATGGAGCCAAAGTCTTTCACATAGTCTTTAGGTATACAGTTATCTGGGGTAACACTGTTCACATAGGGAAAGTACGGCACAGACGGCGTTCGTATGAATTGCAGGAGAAGGGAGGTCGGCGGCTCGGCAGTGTTCGTGAGTTTAAATGTCCGTTTTGAGTTCCACAGTTCTGGAGCTTAACACTGCTGGCCATTCGGGAGTTTAAGATGGCCGCTGCCATGTGTTCGTTTATAAGAACAGCGGCCACCCAGCGTTCACCCATTAGGCTGCGGTTAGCCGCAGCTTCTGGGAGGTAAATCACTGGAACACTCCTTGACGAGGTGGTCCCCCTATTCATGCGTTGGTTCGGTAGATTCAATCTACCGAACGCCCAGGCAGAAACAAGCCTTTCTGCAGAGGAATTTAACAGCGTTTAACATGGGGCCATAGTCCAGAGGGAGCAGACGAGCAACCAGGCTTCTCCAATGCCCAGTGGCGAGGTTGGTTTTGCCACAATACGCTATGTGGATTCCAATGTTATCTTCAACTATTTGGGACTATCAGTTGAATTCTGGACTCCTTTATTGGACTGATTATTTATCTTTATCTTCATTAGTGTCAGCAATATTTATTAAGCTCAATACCATTGATTTATTTAAGTGATTTCCTATTTCTACATACATACATATCATATCTACTTCTACTGATTTAGCTCCTGGATACTTACACTCTATGATGCATTCTTTTAACCGTTTAGTGTATAGTGTCCAAGTATGTTTCTTGCATTTGGCTATATTACGTTACTGTAACAATGCTTTTTTTTTTGTTCTTTATTTACCTAAACATAATAAATCAGGAATCATTAGTATGTTGGGTTATGTTGCTTCCGAAAGTGATCATGTCAGGGAAGTGTTTGTTCTGTTCACTCCAAGAAACAAATTCCCTTTAAAAAAGAGAAGTTAGTTTAAAAGTGTTTTTTTTTATGTTTGTATTTCTTCAATCTTTTAAATGCAATAAGGGCACTATGGTGGTTAACGTGACAATAAACCTGTGTGAGCTCTCTTGTGAGCAACAAGATTTGATTTAAAGACAAAACATTTACCACATTTAGAACATGAGAAAGGCTTCATTCCTGTGAGTTCTCTGATGACTACTAAGACTTGATTGAGCTCTAAAACATTTCCCACATTCTGAACATGAGAAAGGTTTCTCTCCTGTGTGAGTTCTGTTGTGCTCAACAAGATGTGATTTACGCCTAAAACATTTTCCACATTCCGTACATGAGAACGGTTTCGATCCTGTGTGAGTTCTCTGGTGTTCAACAAGACATGATTTAGTGCTAAAACATTTCCCACATTCCGTACATGAGAACGGTTTCTCTCCTGTGTGAGTTCTCTGGTGTTTGTTAAGATCTGAATTACTAACAAAACATTTCTCACATTCAGAACATGAGACAGTTTTCTCTCCTGTGTGAGTTCTCTGGTGTTTGTTAAGCACTGATTTACTACCAAAACATTTCCCACATTCAGAACATGAGAAAGGCTTCTCTCCTGTGTGAGTTATGGTGTGGCTTACAAGTTGTGATTTACTAATAAAACATTTTCCACATTCCGTACATGAGAACGGTTTCTCTCCTGTGTGAGTTCTCTGGTGTTTGTTAAGATTTGAATTACTAACAAAACATTTCCCACATTCTGAACATGAGACAGTTTTCTCTCCTGTGTGAGTTCTCTGGTGTTTGTTAAGATTTGAATTACTAACAAAACACTTCCCACATTCTGAACATGAGACAGTTTTCTCTCCTGTGTGAGTTCTCTGGTGTTTGTTAAGCACTGATTTACTACCAAAACATTTCCCACATTCAGAACATGAGAAAGGCTTCTCTCCTGTGTGAGTTATGGTGTGGCTTACAAGTTGTGATTTACTAATAAAACATTTTCCACATTCCGTACATGAGAACGGTTTCTCTCCTGTGTGAGTTCTCTGGTGTTTGTTAAGATCTGATTTACTAACAAAACATTTCCCACATTCTGAACACGAGAAAGGTTTCTCTCCTGTGTGAATTCTCTGGTGTTCAACAAGACTTGATTTACTGCTTAAACATTTCCCACATTCAGAACATGAGTAAGGCTTCTCTCCTGTGTGAGTTATGGTGTGGTTTACAAGTTGTGATTTACGGATAAAACATTTTCCACATTCCGTACATGAGAATGGTTTCTCTCCTGTGTGAGTTCTCTGGTGTTTGTTAAGATCTGAATTACTAACAAAACATTTCCCACATTCTGAACACGAGAAAGGTTTCTCTCCTGTGTGAATTCTCTGGTGTTCAACAAGACTTGACTTACTGCTTAAACATTTCCCACATTCAGAACATGAGTAAGGCTTCTCTCCTGTGTGAGTTATGGTGTGGCTTACAAGTTCTGATTTACTGATAAAACATTTTCCACATTCCGTACATGAGAACGGTTTCTCTCCTGTGTGAATTCTCTGGTGGTTGTTAAGCGCTGATTTAGTAACAAAACATTTCCCACATTCTGAACACGAGAAAGGTTTCTCTCCTGTGTGAGTTATGGTGTGTCTTATGAGATGTGATTTACGGATAAAACATTTTCCACATTCCGTACATGAGAACGGTTTCTCTCCTGTGTGAGTTCTGTTGTGGTTTACAAGTTGATATTTACGGATAAAACATTTTCCACATTCTGTACATGAGAACGGTTTCTCTCCGGTGTGAATTCTCTTGTGCTCAACAAGATATGACTTAAAGAAAAAACATTGTCCACATTCCGTACATGAGAACGGTTTCTCTCCTGTGTGAATTCTCTGGTGGTTGTTAAGCGCTGATTTAGTAACAAAACATTTCCCACATTCTGAACACGAGAAAGGTTTCTCTCCTGTGTGAGTTCTGTTGTGGCTTACAAGTTGTGATTTCCGGATAAAACATTTTCCACATTCCATACATGAGAATGGTTTCTCTCCTGTGTGATATCTCTTGTGCTCAACAAGTTGAGATTTATAGATAAAACATTTTCCACATTCCGTACATGAGAACGGTTTCTCTCCTGTGTGAGTTCTGTTGTGGTTTACAAGTTGATATTTACGGATAAAACATTTTCCACATTCCATACATGAGAATGGTTTCTCTCTTGTGTGATATCTCTTGTGCACAACAAGTTGAGATTTATAGATAAAACATTTTTCACATTCTGAACATGAGAACGGTTTCTCTCCTGTGTGAGTTCTCTTGTGCACAACAAGACTTGAGTGATTGTTAAAACATTTTTCACATTCAGTACAGGGGAAAAGCTTTGATTTTCTCTTTACAATTTCATTTGTAGACATATCCGATTGTAAAAGATTTCTTGAGTTTTTAGAGTTGGAATTTTTGGTTCTTGTATTGAAAGATTTCTTCATAGTCTTGCTTACTGTATTTCTGTTCTTTTCAGGTCCTTCTTGATAACTTTTACTGCTGGGAAAAATCTGAAAGAAATGTACTGGGAGTTAAAGAAAATCTGTTGCTGTAAGTTATTTAAGCTTACCATATTAAGAAAAATAATCAGAACTGTGACTATGAAGTATATTATTGATTGTGTCAGATATTTATACTGACAGATAAGATAGAAATTAAAAATGTATAATGTAAGTCACCACTTAGCAGATGTGACTCCATTTTGTAACAAAATGCAAAGGTCAGGCATTTGTTTCTCTCAAACTCTATTCAATGACTAAACAAATGTGGCTTAAGTAAACAATGCAGAGTTCCTTTATTTCTATTTTTTTTACAAGAATTTATGTCTGCAACAAGGGGGGTAAAGAGGCCAGCCCATACACATCTCTCTATCTAAATCTCTATCTATATAGTACCCATGTGTGGGGAAAGGGACCTCGCCACTTGGTTTTGGAGAGGCCTGCTTGCCAGCCTCTTGCCCTGTGATTATGGCACTGGTGACTTATTGGGTTTTGAGGCACTTGTGAAAGACCTTTATGTCCCAGGATTTCATATTGCTCCTTATTTGCTTGGATGTTAAACTCTCCCTGATATATTGGTTTGGCAAATTACACATCTATGACAGCGAGGATAATGTTGTGCAAACAGACGAACAAACTACCGAATGACCGACCACCCTGCATGTGGAGAGTGTGGCTTCTTAACCACACAGAAGCTGTGATTAACCGCAGCTTAATTGGCGAACGGCTGGGTGGTCAGCGTTTGTATGAATGAACACAGGGTAGCGGCCATTTTGTTTAGCCAAGCGCTTTCACGAACACCACTGGGACTTCCACCGTGCGTTCGGCTAAATCCATACGAACAGAGCGCTTTTTAGTGAAAGGAAACTCCCATACAAGACGCATCTAATGACAGTATGCACGAACAGATCAGTTTGTGCAATTTGTACCTTATTTTAAGGGGAAGATAGACAGGCCGCACAGCCTAAATCTGTGGAACTATTTTGGGCATGAAAGCCATGCTTGCAGTCGGTCAAATGTGACTTCCATAGATTTTGGGAACCCCTGCTCTTATCTGGGTGGTTTTTGGATATGTTGTTCACCCAGATAAGAGCTATGTTTGTGTTTTGAGGTGTTTCAGGAAATTGGGGTAAAATGGATATTTTCGGTCTGTGGATAATTAGGTTATTCCATTAGCTAGCTTAATTATATCACAGGCAGAGGGGAGGGATTGCTGACTGTATGTGGGAGTGTTAATTACTGTTCCGATCACTCATGTGGCAGCAGTTGCTAGACAATTGGAATGGCAGATCTATGTTTGTTCCCCCATTGTCTGAAGATTCTCCAGTTATTTGGTCCGATGCGGCTTCACACACAGGCTTTGCTGCTATTTCTGGTGACAGATGGTTAAGAGACGTATGTCCTGTGTAGGCCATTAACTTAACAGCTTTTTGGGAGACTTGCGCTCTCTTTGAAAAATGTTTTATCATGGCAGCCGCATTTACGTGGGGAACATTAGGGAAAAGGCAGCCTGTCAAATGTTTCTCTGATATGATGGCTTGTGATATCAACAAAAGCGCTCCTCATCACTCATTATCATGAAGCTGATTAGACGGTTGACATGGTGGGCGGCCACAAAACCATTCTTCCTGGTGTGCGAGCCCATTCCGGGTTGTCATAACTTAGCCGCTGACGCTTTATCCCGCTCTCAATTACAGGCTTTCTTCAACCTTCATCCAACAGCCATGCCGCTTCTTTGCAACACTCCAGCATTCTAAGACCTAAATCTGGACTAGTTCACATAGTGGAGCTCAGGCAGCACTGTTTCATAGCATGCAAAAAATGTACGACACAGATAGGACACTGTTCACTAGAGTCACCGGTGCTTATCTGATTCCGAATTCATACTCCGTTCATATGATGGTGGCAATCGCAACATTTTGCCACCTTTCCCTTAAACTATCATACAATACCATAAAACAATACCTAGCAGGTATACAGCACAAATATCTAACTCTTTACCAGACTACAAAGCATTCATGTCCACTTATCCCATAAAAAAATATTGTGACGAGACGGCCCCAGGTTCAGAGCTTTATCCAACATGCAAGACAGCAAACCATTTGACTCACAAACCAATTCCATTATTAAAGAAGCCATCTACATTGCCTTTTATGGTTTCTTACTCCCCCCGCGAATTTACCATAGGTTCCTCAGTGGAGGCACCACAATGTTTGAAATTCAGAGATCTTATTAGAACAGGAGATCATTACAAGATTATCATCAAACACAGCAAAACTAACCAAACAGGTCCGGCAATAGAAATTCCATTTTACCTAGCAGTAAACAAATTGTGCCATGTATCAGTCCTAAACGAATAAACGAATATAGGCGTTATTTACAGCTTATTCATGCAATACACCATTACTACCCTTATACGAGCAACCCCTATCTACAACCAAATTCATGTTGTATTTTAGGACCCTATGCCTGAAATTAGGTTTGGGCCTTACAACATTTTCAGGTCATTCTTTTAGGATAGGAGCAGCTTCAGCCACATCAAGCAAGAACGTACCTGTCCACATAATTAAAAAACTAGGAAGATAGATATCCTCAGTATGTTAAGTATATGCCACAACCAGAATTAGAAATAAGGCAAGCATTTAAAAGTTTAGCATCATATTATGTTGTAAAAATGTAATAAAGTGTGTATTTTCATTGGAACCTTTTGCCCTCTTTATTCATACAGGCTAACCCAAACATCGGTTTTGGCACGACACCACCGACTTTTTTCATTCTCTGCCTTTGTCCCTGACTGCAAGTGTTAAGGCTAATAGACTGTGTAACGGATCGCCTGGCACCCCGACTGGGTACCTCCGTTGAAAGATGCTCCTAGCGCTTCCTGAGGACTCCAAGCACTGCAGCAGACACCACAATCACCAAACCAGAGAAGCGTATACCTTCTCTCAAGCATATGAATGCTGTAGACAGTTGAATAGGAACCATACGAATAGGTTTACTCTCCTAGCAGTCAAACTGGAACAGCATACAATAAATCCTTCCCCCAATAATGAGACGACACTTCACTTTGAGGGTTAAAACAGGAACTCCCTGTACTGTCACATACAGTCTCTTTTATTCCCAATCCACAAACATAGTACAGCCCACAGGGCGTTACAAAACAGCCAATCAATCCATACAATACACCCAGACACTCCCACACAAAATCCTCCCCTCTGGCTGTGATATGATTACTGAACACAATGGGTAATCTAATTATCACAGCCAGAGAAATACAGTTTCATAAAACACATCACAGGGACCCCAAAACATGCAATAACCCCATAAAACGTATATCCTCGGAACTGGGGGATCTGGGTGAACCACATAGCCAAAATTTACCCAGATCCGTTCAGTACTTTAGAAAACACAGTTTAATGCAGATTCTGCAGAACATATACAGGCTAAATAAAAAACAATCACTGTACAATGTGTCCCCTGCTGTATAGTCCAAAACCACCGCACGATGTCTCTGTGCAACAAATACTGGCGAGATGGCACCGTGTTGAAAAGTCCAAACAGTGTCTGGGAGTTAAAATGGCCGCCATCCATTGTTCTCAACATGTGCTTCTGATACAGGAAATGATGGCCACCCAGTAACTCCACAGTATGTCTCCAGATGGTTCTTAAAAGGGCCAGCAGCAGCACAACACAAATCCATTATGCCCAAATCATGTCTTTAAAGGGCAATACATTATTAACAGTGCATTACATTACACACTATAACATACAATAGGAACCCCATACCCGCAACCCTTAAAGAGACAGTACAAAATAATGTCCAAGTGGCTAGGTTTGCCACAATGCTCCCCCAGAACCAAGCCAGCATACACAGTCTGATCCCAACGGATCGGCTTGGGGATGTCCGGAGGAGTACTCACGAATCACGGCTCCAAGTCTGTTTGTCTAGACAACCCGTCGGCGTTGCCATTTTGCTTCCCAGGGCGGTAGTGGATAGTAAAGTCAAAAGGCTGCAGCGCCAAACTCCAGCGCAGCAGCCTGGCGTTGTCTCCGGACACCCTGTTCAGCCACACCAACGGGTTGTGATCCGTGAGTAAAATAAAGGGTTGTCCGTATAAGTAGGGTTGCAACTTTTTGAGGGCCCACACCACAGCCAGGCACTCTTTTTCAATGGCAGCGTAGCTTACTTCCCTGGGTAAAAGTTTTCGGCTTAGATAAGCTACGGGGTGCTAGCCGCCATCGGGTCCAACTTGGCTCGGTACTGCTCCCAATCCAAACATAGATGCGTCTGTGTGAACGAGAAATCGTTTAGTTGGATCAGGAGCAGAAAGTACAGGAGAGTTAACCAGTGCCATCTTGAGCTGTTGAAATGCCTGCTCACACACTGGGGCCCAGACAACTAACTTAGGGAGGTTCTTGCGGGTCAGGTCTGTGAGGGGTTTGGCAAGGGCGCTATAGTTGGCCACAAATTTCCGGTAGTACCCGGCGGTCCCTAAAAAGGCGAGCACTTGGGTCTTGGTGCGAGGGGTGGGCCATTGGGCGACTGCCTCTATTTTGGCGGGTTCAGGTTTCTGTTGCCCACTCCCTACTCGGTGCCCTAGGTACTGGACTTCCGCCATACCGATATGGCATTTGCTGGGCTTTAGGGTCAGTCCAGCCTCTCGGATTCGGTCTAGAATGGCTCCTATGTGGACCAGATGTTCGTGCCAGGAGTGGCTGAATATGGCAATATCATCTAGATACGCGCAGGCATACTCCTGGAACCCATCTAATAATCGGTCTACCATTCTCTGAAAGGTAGCTGGGGCGTTTTTCATCCCTAATGGCATGACCTTAAACTGATACAGGCCAAACGGGGTGACAAAGGCCGACTTAGGGATGGCGTCCTCCGCTAGTGGAATCTTTGCACAGGTCTATCGTGGTTAGGTACTGGCACCTGGCCATTTTGTCCAGGAGTTCGTCTATCCGGGGCATGGGATACGCATTGGAGGTGGTTTTATCGTTGAGCCGTCAGTAGTCTACGCAGAAACGGGTCGTCCCGTCCCGTTTCGGCACCAGTACTACCGGGGAGGCCCCGGGGCTGTCCGAGTGCTCTATCACTCCTAACTGAATCATCTCCTCAATTTCCTTGCGCATACTTTCTTTGACGGCTTCTGGGGTGCGATATGGGGGTTGGCGCAGGGGAGTCTGGTCTAACGTTTCTACCTTATGGGTAGCCAAAGGGGTATAGCCTGGGACATTGGAAAATGTGGCCTTCTTTTCCTGAAGTAACCATTGTACCTGGGCCCGCTCTTGGGCATTTAATCGTTCTCCTAATTGTACCTCTCCCAGATCTCCGCTCTGGCCCTCTCGGTCTAGGAGATCGGGTTGTCAAAGTCTTCCGTGGCAGGGGCACAGATTGCGGTGACCTCCTCAGTACGTTCGTGGTATGGTTTGAGCATGTTCACATGGAGCATGCGTTTGCCTCCCGTGCCTGTAACCGGGCCGATCACATAGGTGGTGTCACAGATCTGTTCCACCACCTTGTATGGGCCCTGCCAGGAAGCCTGCAGCTTATCTTTGTGGACTGGTTGCAAAATTAGCACTTTTTGACCCACCTGGAAGCTGCGATCCCTGGCTCCCTGGCTCCCTTATCGTACCATCTGCGCTGTCGTTCCTGCGCTACCTGGAGATTGTCTCGGACGGTCTGGGTCGGCCTCTCCAGGCGTTCCCTGAACTCGAGCACATATGGTAAGATAGGGGTGCCATTAATGGTTTTGTCTCCCTCCCAGTGTTCCCGTATCAAGTCAAGCAGTCCCCTCACTCTCCTCCCGAATAATAATTGGAACGGGGAGAATCCGGTGGATTCTTGCGGCACTTCTCGATACGCGAACAGCAGGTGGGGTAAAAACCTCTCCCAGTCTTTTTGGGTGTCCATGAACGTGCGGATCATTTGTTTCAGGGTTCCGTTAAACCGTTCACAGAGCCCATTGGACTGGGGGTGATATGGGGAGTTCAGGATTTGCTGTATCCCACATATCTTCCAGATCTGATGGGTCACTTCAGCCGTAAACTGGGTGCCTCTATCGGAGATAATCTCCTGGGTGAATATTCTCATCAGGACCTCGGCTACCGTTTCTGCGTGCACGTTAGTTAAGGCCACTGCCTCGGGGTACCTGGTGGCGTAATCCACCACAGTTAGGCCATTGAAAAATTGCTCCAGTACCATTAGCTGGAACAGACCCTCCAATGTATCAACTTGGGCGGCCTCCAGCCACCCCTTTGCAGCTCGTTGCAGCTGGTGCGCCCAATCCAGATGAGTGTCTTTGGTGGGTTTCTTAATGTCCCGAAACTTCCTTCGGTACGCCTCTGATGTGATGGCATACCGGGCTAGAATGGCCGAATTCACCTTATTGTAATCCCTACTATCCTCATCTGGTACTGCCCGGTACGCTTCAGCAGCTCGCCCAGATAATCTCCCTGCTAGCAGGGGTACTCTGTCTGCATCGTTAATCTCATGCAGCAAACACAGTCTCTCGAAGTCCTGTAGATAGTCGTCAACGCCACCGTCCGCCTCCACATAGCTTTTAAAGGCTTGATATGGGATTTTGCCATTCCCTGGGAAATTATGGACTGGCGTTGCGGCTCTTTCCCCAGCTTGCTGGTTCCCTGGGGTTCTCCTGGACATGATGTACTCCTGTACATCACCAAAAAGCCTGTCAACCATCTCTGCAGATGGGGGTGCAGGGAATAGAGCCATTCGTGCTTGGAATTCGGCTGTAAATTCGTGTGTTTCTCTCTCCATTTGAGGTGCTGCAGCAGCTGCGGCTCTGTCTCCTTCCATGAGCTCTGTAATTAGGACAGCCTTTGCCTTCTTACTGGAGATTGCTCCTCTGGCTTCCAGCAGCTCCTTTAATGTGCTCCGTTTTAGCAGGGCGTAATTTGTTCCCATTCACCGGCTGTTCGTGGGGTTTATTCGAATGTGCTAATTCCTGAATGACCGTTCCTTGATTCGTTTAAAAATCTGCCGAACGTTGCTTTGCTGTGTAAATTCGAATCCCGTCGCTTGCCACCAATTGTAACGGATCGCCTGGCACCCCGACTGGGTACCTCCGTTGAAAGATGCTCCTAGCGCTTCCTGAGGACTCCAAGCACTGCAGCAGACACCACAATCACCGAACCAGAGAAGCGTATACCTTCTCTCAAGCATATGAATGCTGTAGACAGTTGAATAGGAACCATACGAATAGGTTTACTCTCCTAGCAGTCAAACTGGAACAGCATACAATAAATCCTTCCCCCAATAATGAGACGACACTTCACTTTGAGGGTTAAAACAGGAACTCCCTGTACTGTCACATACAGTCTCTTTTATTCCCAATCCACAAACATAGTACAGCCCACAGGGCGTTACAAAACAGCCAATCAATCCATACAATACACCCAGACACTCCCACACAAAATCCTCCCCTCTGGCTGTGATATGATTACTGAACACAATGGGTAATCTAATTATCACAGCCAGAGAAATACAGTTTCATAAAACACATCACAGGGACCCCAAAACATGCAATAACCCCATAAAAAGTATATCCTTGGAACTGGGGGATCTGGGTGAACCACATAGCCAAAATTCACCCAGACCCGTTCAGTACTTTGGAAAACACAGTTTAATGCAGATTCTGCAGAACATATACAGGCTAAATAAAAAACAATCACTGTATAATGTGTCCCCTGCTGTATAGTCCAAAACCACCGCACGATGTCTCTGTGCAACAAATACTGGCGAGATGGCACCTGTGTTGAAAAGTCCAAACAGTGTCTGGGAGTTAAAATGGCCGCCATCCATTGTTCTCAACATGTGCTTCTGATACAGGAAATGGTGGCCACCCAGTAACTCCACAGTATGTCCCCAGATGGTTCTTAAAAGGGCCAGCAGCAGCACAACACAAATCCATTAAGCCCAAATCATGTCTTTAAAGGGCAATACATTATTAACAGTGCATTACATTACACGCTATAACATACAATAGGAACCCCATACCGGCAACCCTTAAAGAGACAGTACAAAATAATGTCCAAGTGGCTAGGTTTGCCACAGACTGTATTTGTGGGAGGGGTTATCCGGCTTAAATACCCAGCCGGGACTCACTTTAGAGCTGTCATCGCTCGATTGCACCTCACCAACCTCACCCTTTAACAAAACATCTATTTGGTGAACCCTCTTTATTTAAACAGGCTTACCAGAACGTCGGTTTTGATACAACACAACCGACTTATTTCATTCTTTGTCCCCTACTACAAATTTTTTATGTAATACATGATTTTTTAATTATCCCCAGAGTTATTTCCTTTTTGGTAGGTGTTTTGTAATATATCTCACACGCCCCACTGTTTCAGATGGTGTTTACTACACCTTCCTGGTTCTATAAAAGTGCATCTACTTCAATTTTTTGCATTTTTATTATTCTAAATAAATTTACTTACAGTCCTTTGAACCTGTTTACACCATGCTACTGGTATTTGAATAGATATTCTGAGAAGATATTTGATACAGTATTAACCTCAACATCTAAGGAAAGGGATTTAGGGGGTAAGTATTTCAGATGATTTTAAAGATAGGCAAACCGGCCATGCAATAGGGCAGTAGGAAATGCTAGTAAAATGATTGGTTTTATAAGAAGAGGTATTAGCAGTAATAAGAGGGACGTGCTCATGCCTTTGTACACAGCACAGATGAGACCTCACTGGGAGCATTGTACACAGTACTGGGGACCATAATCTTTAGAAGGATGTTGATACTTTGGATCGAGTTCAGAGAAGGGCTACTAAACTGGTTCATGGATTGCAGGATAAAACTTACCAGGAAATGTTAAAGGAACTTAACATGTGTAGCTTGGAGGAAAGACGAGACAGTGTGGATATGATTAAAACATTTAAATGTGTGTAGTAATGTGTTTGCACAGTCTTGGTAGCAGTAAATGTAGTTATGTGTTGGATAAAGGAGTGGGGTGCAGCATGTGTAGTAGTGTGTGTACCTGTAAGTTCTGAATTAACAATGTTGTCCCCAGTCTTCTCCCCTCTCTGCCCAGGAGATAACTGTTCAATCTTAGAGGGTGTGCCATGCACCGATCCCTGTGTTCAGTATGAGAAGCAGTATGAAATTGTTCCTAAGTAATACATTATTTACACTGTTAAAAACAATCTATAAGTGGTCAATGCAAGTGAATTGGTTACCTGGACATAAATTTAGTTTCTACAAATTAGATCAACAGAAAAAAAAAAAAAAAACACTAGCAGGACAAATTGAATTTCGCTCATGGTTTAATTCCTTTCGTTCAAATTTAATATGCTTAATTTCAGATTAAACGAAATTCAAACTGATTCCATAAAAAAAAAAAAAAAAAGATATTTATTGAGATGCTTTGCTTAAAGGAAATCTAGTGTCGCCCACCGCCCCCAATCAGTAACTAAACGGTTAATAACGCCTTTGTCCCTAATCTCCCTCGGCGCTGGGTCAATGTTTCCCCTCTCCTCCTCTATCTCTCCCTCCGTGTCCCCCCTCTCCTCTCTCTCTCCGTGTCCCCCCTCACCCCCTCTCAATGCCCCCCCTCCCCATGCCCACCCTCGGCCCAGAACCCCAACCCCAGAGTGAGTTCCAGGGAGCCGAAGGTGTCGTCCTTCCTTCCCAGCGGCAGTGCGAATTACAGGGAGCCGAAGGTGTCGTCCTTCCTCCCCAGCGGCAGTGCGAATTACAGGGAGCCGAAGGTGTCGTCCTTCCTCCCCAGCGGCAGTGCGAATTACAGGGAGCCGAAGGTGTCGTCCTTCCTCCCCAGCGGCAGTGCAAATTACAGGGAGCCGAATGTGTCGTCCTTCCTCCCCAGCGGCAGCCTGTGATTCAGGGAGAGGAGCACAGCACCCCCCGAGCAGCAGCTTACCCTACCAAAGGGAGAGACCAATCTTCCAGATGGTGCAGATGGTACCGTGGTCTCTGTGCCTGACCCACAGGGATGCTGGACAGCCAGTCCA